CTTTTGAACAACCGTTTTCTAACCCACGATTAGGAAATTTAATCAACGATTAGGCTTAGTCGGAGGTTAGTTTAATCGCGGTTTTGAACAACCGGGCCCAGGAGTTAAGTCCGAGCTAGCGTTGTGATTAGGTCCTTCATGGTCTGGATTTTGCCACAAGGGCTGTTTTTATCGGAACGGTCATCCGCCGAGTATGTTTTGTTTTCGGAAGCCGGAAACTTCAAAATTGCGACTGCGAAAAGAAAGACTGCGAAAAGAAAACGTGTAGATATTCTCGTTCTTCGTAAAAAAACACGTTACGGCGGAAGTCCTTTGAATTCAAGTGACTAGAAATGCGTTTAGGAGAAACATAAACAAGTATGGCGCGAGTGCCATATAATAGGCTAATTATCTACCTTGCTTGCTTGAGCCTTACTGGGGAATATTTACCCTCGTTCGTTTGCACGTGTGCTTGCTCCGTAGGACCCTCGCGCTCCGTAAGTAAGAGGTTACTGATATATAGATTTAGAGATCCTGGGCCGGATAGTTCAAAACCCGATTAAGATAACCCAAGATACGCGAAAATTTTGATTTGAGTTTTGTAACTTTGTGGTGAGGTTTTCTGTTTATATAGTTTGGCCTTCTGTTTAGGGTTTGAATAATCGCAAACTACACAAAACATAAGCAGTAAAAACATTTTTATACAAGAAAAAAATTATTTTTCGGTTAACTTTTAATCCTGAGTTAGTGTTAACCGGCTTTCAAACAACCTGGCCGTGATTACAACAGAGCTCTAAACTGGAGCCCGCGATATGCTCAAGTGATACTGGTCTGTGGATACCTTATTTTGAAAGGTGTCAATTGAAGGCAACATGGATGTCCGATATCAAAGAAGTACGCTGTAAACCAAGGCTGCATGTCTCAGTCAACCTATTAGCTGGAGTATGGCCGCCATGTTGCGCGACTCCGTCGTCGTCGTCGTCGTCGTGCGTAAGCGCCCATGGGCAATACCGCTAGCCATGATAACCATGAGAAAATCAATTCAGGTCTCTTTTTCTTTCCTTTATGAGTATGTGCCTCGCTTGACGGCCCTTCGGGCCGCCGGAGCTCCGCTATTAGTGTTTTTTACAAAAAGTGAAAAGTGCATAGTGCGCGACACTTTTTTCCCTCTATGTTTGCAGAGATAGTTAACTACACACGAGCAGGTTATTATTTGCAGCCACTAGAATGATACCAGGGGTAATGCGCATGAGTAGGACATTACTTGTATGCAGTTATCTGTAGTGACAAAGTCAATCAAAATCAAAGAAAATATATCGAAATACCAATTTGCACAAAACAAAACAAACCAAAGCAAAGAAAAACAAAGCAAAACAAAACAAAACAAAACAAACAAAGCAAAAAGCAAACACAAAAACGAATGTATATGTATGGCCTATAATTACCTGGAAGGGATTGCTTGCTTTATTATCTCCACGATACATCTCCGAGTTCCCCCACTTCGAAGAACTTGAGGGATGCTCATTGAGTGCTGGAACAGCTGAAGGGTGAATTTCAGAGATGTGTCTGCACCAGTGAAGATACAGTGACCAACCCAATATCGTTCTACAGCTTCCCCTCCAGCGGTGAAACTTTCCTTGTCATTCTCATCTTCGCCTTCACTTCCAGCTGATGCTTCTTCTCCATGTTCGTCTAAAAACACACTTTTGATTGCCGAAGACAACTCTGAATTAGGCGAACTGTTCGAAACAGACGTGGAGCAGGAAACTCGCACACAAGCATAATCTCCACAAAAAATATCGATTTGCCTGGTTTCGCTGAACTTCTTATCTAGCCGAAACTTGCCGACAAGTTTAGAGTCATCTTCCACTTTCCACGTTACTTCAATACCTTGAAGAACTAATGCATCATCATTCCGTGTGGCCACGGTAGCAGCCTCCATGTTCAGCAGAGGATTCCAAACATTGACGTACGCTCTGATGTTTCTATAGCGCTGCTTTGACGCTTTTTCTGAAGCAGTTTCTGCAAAGCAGTTATCAGCGAGCTTCCTGTGTTCCAGACAGATGTTGATGCCAGACGCAAGGTTGAACAGCTGAATGTCAGGTGCCATGAGTGGTCCAATATCGTTGGCTGATAGCTGTACGCTAACTTTGTCGGAAACTTTGAAAGCATGAGTCGCCTCAATGAAATGTAACTCACTTTCTTCCTCATCTTTAGGTGACTCCGTATCACTTTCGCTATCGCTCTCGTCGACTTCGTCAATTACTTCGTCAGAGTCATCATCTCCGTCGTGGTCATCATC